GATTACTGCATATTTGGTGATTCTAAGCTCAAAATAAGGTATTATCCTAAAAATGCAATAAAGAAGCCTTCCTTTTATTTAAGAAAAACAAGTCAGGCATGGTGGCAGATGCCTGTAATACCAGCACTTGGGAGGTAGAGGCAGCAGGATCTTGAGTTCAAGGCCACCCTGGGCTACTTAGACCCTGCCTCAACAATTTAAATAAATAAATAAATAATCAAGTGGCAGTAAATATTATTAATCCAAAAAAATCTATTAGCTTCAAGAAGCATGTTATCAGCTGAATTGGTTTTCCATTGACTTAGGTTGTAACTTTAAGGTTGCTTTTTTCCCTTTGTTTTTGTATGCTTTCTAATATATTAAGTTCTGTATTCCCTTTGGATAGCCAGAGTAACGCATAACTATAGCCAAGGAGCTTCTTTTAAATTCTTTGTTTGAAATCTTTCTTAAAGCAGAGTCTTCCGAAATGTAAATAATTGCCCAAAACAGGATTTCTTAATAATAGATGGAATTAGCATTTATTTGTAGCTTCTTTTAGGTGTATCCTGATGTTTCTCTTTTTAAGTTTGGGTTTCTCCTTCAGTAAACATGACATGACTCTTTTTGTATAGAAATGAAAAAAGAACTCTTAATCTAAGACAAGTCTAGACAAATTGTTGGCTTAAGGTCATTCACCCATTTAATAGAGTAGATCCCACAGCTCTTCAGTTTTACTCTTTTGATTGCTGGTCTTTTCCTTTAAATTATTGTACAAAATAAAAATGTTAAAGGAAATTCAGACAGTTTTAAACTTCAAATAAGAAAATGACAGTTCTATTTTAGCCTCATTTCCTAAATTGAATTTTTATTGTGCTGGGTGCTTGGAATCAAAATTAGTAAAACACTTTCAAAAGGTATTTAGAAATCTTTAAAAAAAAAAAAAACAACACTTTCAGAGTAGCAGCATTAAACAGGGACCTACTTTTCTTTTTTTTCTTTTCAATTGACACATATTAATTGTGTATATCAAATTTCATATCATTTGACCTACATTGTACCTTTTATTTTGACAGAAAATAATAATAAAGTTTTACAATCTGAAATATTGTTGCCCTAAGTCCAGTTTTACACCTAGCAAGTAAGAGACAGGGAAGGGTTATGGGCTTCTTCCTTCTACCTTTACTTTTTTTTGTAAATTGAGGCTCCTGATCTTAGCCTAGACAACTGAAATCTCCACCTGAGTGTAATAATATAATAACTCTAGCTTTTGGAAATATAAAGCTAGTTTCCAAGTTTAGAAGTACCAATTTTTCAATTATGATTGAAATAGAATTTTTCTTCTAAGAGAAAGGTAATCACTTCTTTGATAGTTGAATATTATTGATAGAATTATACGTAATGGAGCAAGGAAGTGAATATTTTTATTTTTTTGCTCTTTCATTTTTATTGATGTGTGTTTTGAGGATACCAAACCTCAAATAGAAATAGAAATATCTATTTCTCACTGTGGATGGCAGTGGAGAAATACAGAAAAAACTTTTTTTTTTTTTGGTGGTACTCAGGTTTTACAGTTAGGGCTTCATGCTTGCAAGGTAAGTGCTCTACCATTTGAGCCATACCCCTAGCCTTTTGTTCTTTAGTATTTTGGGGATAGGGTCTCACATTTTTTGCTTGGGCCAGCCTGGACTGTCAGCCTCTTGCATGACTAGGATGACAGATATGTATCATTGTGCCCAGCTTATTGGTTGAAATGGGGTCTCACTAACTTTTTGCCTAGATTGGCTTCGAACTGTGATCCTCCTGATCTCTACCTCATGAGTAACTTATGATTACAGGCATGGGCTACCACATCCAGCCTTAGAAAACCATTTTTTTGGTGCAGTATGCAAATTCCTTTAGAAAGATTGTTTTCCAATTTTGGATATACACAAGCATCTCTATATCCATTTAGTACATTTCAGATCCAGAACTTGCTGCTCATATAGAAAGATCAGATATGAAAATGAGTGACATATCATAGGACAAAAAAAAAGAAAGTACCCATTAGTAATCTTTCTAGTAGAGGCTGAGTTTGGCCTGAATCATAAGCAGTTACATCCTCCTTTATAAATACTATTGTAAAAGTTTGCTAATTCTATTTCTTTGTGTGTGTGCTTTCTTTTTTCCTGCCTCTTGTCTTTTCAAGTTCAACTCATGTTGAGCATCTTTCTGTTCCCATTAAAATACAAGATACAAAAGCAGAATAAAACAAAAATTTAAAAATCTTAAAAGTCAATAGTACTGCTATTCACATATTGAAGCAACTTTTGTGGCCTTTGAGAGGAGTGTTAAGTGACAGAAAATGCTGTTACCTTGTGCTTGATATAGCCTTTCTTCATAAAGTACATCTGTTCCTTGTAGAAGTAATTAAAAGATCCATTTTTGAATGTATGAATAATATCTATATATTACTGGGTAGAATCATGGTATGTATAATACTATTTTATTTATGTGTTAGACATACTTTGCTACCATAGAGATGGTAATTGAATGATATACCCAAGCCAAAGATTAGAATATCTTAGTTTTTCAGGTACCTTTTGGCTTATTCCAGGTAACTGGTGAAATCTTTGATGGAAGAAAAATCAAATTTCCAAACTGCCAACACAAAGAAAGTTTCTTTTGTCTTCAGAGAACGTAGGTCAGGATTTGTAATTTTTTAGTGTGTGTTTTAAATAGCTTTCCATTTTTTCATTTTTAACAGGAGTCTTTTAGTCCTGCTATACAGCTACACCTTGTACATCAAGCTCCATGTAATGTTCCTCCTTACCTCTCAAAGAATGAATCAAGTCTTGGGGACCTCTTACTGGGCTTTCTTAAATATTATGCTACAGAATTTGAGTAAGTAAAGGTTTACATTGTGCTTATTCATTTATATATAAGTGAATGCTACAAATTTGGTCAGAAGCTGTGTTTGTCAATTGCAGTGGTATAAACTTCTTCAAAAAAGTGTAGTTTATAAAATTAATACCTAACAATTAATTATTAAAAACTAAATCAATTTCATGTTCCCGGGTAATATAAAAATTATAGTTTAATAAGCCCAGTTTTAGTTGATTTCATTTGTTGATCCCATTTTATGTTCATAGGTCTCATTCTCTAGTAGGGCCTTGGTGGACCCTCTGTTTATTTCTTTGTAGGTACTTTGAGGTTCAAGACATCTATTTTCTAGGAACTTAAAATTTGTAGTAAAATATATAACTAAGACAAACTTATACTATCCTATTAATGCTTTGTATCTGAATAAGTAGTTGTGTTAGAATGATATACAAGTCAAGAAACACTTCTTTTCCTCCTTTTTTGTTTGGAGGACAGTGTGTAAATATGAAATCAAGAGTACAATCAGGCTAGACAGAACTCATACTTCTGGGAGTTCTGAGTCTGGATAGAGTGGGGCTAGGGGTTGTTTGCATCTTTTCTCATCTACCTGGAAAAGTTTGAAGGAAGTAGAGAGAGGACTTAGAAATTGTAAAGTTAGAGAAGGGTATGATGACCTTAGGATACCATTTTGAAGCAGTTTGGAGAGTAGAATAGGAGTAGTAATAAATTGCTACTAATTAGGTGGGGAAAATGCTTCTAAGTGTACATACTACCTGATTCAATTTGCATATTTTACCAGTGAGGCATAGAGAGAAATGAAGTAACTTTCTAAGATTCTCATAGCTAGTAAGGGTAGTAGTTCAGGTAGTTTGCCAGAGAGTTCATACTTAGCTATGATAGTTACTGCAATGTTGATATTGTCTTTTCTGCTGTGATGCAGAAAAGAAACGTGGCTCATGAGATAATTTGAAATAGAGAGCATGAAAGAAGAAGTGTTACTCAGTTCTTCAAAGTAAAGCTTATAACAGACCGTCTGTGTCTGTTTTATTTGTAGCTGAGTCCCCAGTACCTAGCCCAGTGCCATATAGGGGTGCTTGGAAAGTGAGATCACAGATATGACTCAAAGGTCCTTAAAAGCTTTAAAGGGTACTGGCCTAGGTTAAGAGAAGGAGTCAGAAAGGTACTGAAGAAAGGTAGTTCAATAAGAATGAAGTTAAAATAATCCAGATTAAAAATCATCAGGATCTGAACGTTAAGTCCAGGCAGTGAGGATTAAAAAGAAGACTTCATTTAGGAAAGATTTACTACTCTATGAAACATAAAGAGACTGTTATTGCAGAGTTATTTTTTTAAGACATTACAATAGCAACAGCTAATGTTTAGTGAGTGGTTATCTAGTGTCCTGTATATGAATACTATACAGGATTGCCGTGTTTGCCGTGTATTTCATTTAATCCTTTATAATAATCCTGTCAAGTTTATGGAATTGTGTACATGAAATGTACCCACAGCAATACATCTAAATAGTGGGACAGCTGGGATTCAAATTTTGGTCTGACTTCAAATGCATATTCTTAATTCTTAGATTGTATTAACATCATTTATTGTGTTGTATAAGTTAGGCATCGGGGTATGTTTAAAGGGAAAGAATTCACAAATGAAAGATACTCTTCCATGTGTAGTTACATGATACAACTACCTTGAAAATGAACCACTTTGTTGAACAGAAACAGGATAAGATAGTAGATGTGTCTTTTTTTGTGTAAGTTTGTTATTAATAGGAACTAGCTTGCTAGGATACTGATGCTTGGAAAGGGATCTTAAGACTTTTTCATACAGTACTTTACTAAGCGCATTGTTATTTTATACAAGATATTTTCAATAATTAAACTGTAGGGTGCTCAGCAAGAACATAGTAATAGTAATGAATTAGGTGCCATGTAAAAGAATTCTGGCAGCTGTTAAAAATAATTGTAAGGGTCTGGGAGCATAGCTCAAATGGTAAAGTGCTTGCATAGCAAGTACAAGGCCCTGGTCCTCAGAACCACCAATTAAAAAAAAAAAAAGGTAAGAATTTCTTCTGAACTTTAAGGTACTCAATTAAAAAATTCCATTTGAAAGACAAAGAATTAAGTATCTGTGAAGGGATGCTTGAATATATGGTATAAATGTTGCAGAAGTTTTATATGACCATTTAAAATTTTTGAATTTTAGCAAGGTGTGGTGGTACACATCTGTAGTCTCAGCTGCTTTGGAGACTGAGGAAGAAGATTGATTGAGCCTAGGAGTTCAGGGCCAGCTTGGGCAATACAGCCAGATCCCATCTCTTTAAATAAATAAATAAGTAAAAATTACTGGCTTTTCTTAACTATACCTTTTTTTTTTTTTCCCGGCACTGGAGTTTGAACTCAGGGCCTAGTATTTGATAGGCAGGTGTTCTGCCATTTGAGCCACTCTGTCAGCCCTCTTTTTTGTGATGGGTATTTTTAAGAAAAGGTCTTGCATACTATTTGCTGAGGCTGGCTTTGAACCTCAGATCCTTCTGATCTCTGCCTACTGAGTATTTAGGATTATAGGCATGAGTCACTGGCATCTGAAACTTACTCACATTTTACTGCTGAAAAGCCTTAAAATGAAGATGGGCTTCTAGAATTGTGCCTGGGAACAGTAAAGTGATAAAATAGGGAAAAAGAATCATATGGCCTAGGGGTTCTAGAAAGCATAGTGTAATCTTTTTTATTTTAGATTCTTAATTATTAAGTGACAATAGCAGGTTTTCACATAGCAAACAATAGATTAATATGATAAATGGCTTCGTTTATGGCTTATGTGTTTTAAACAATGAAATATTTAAGGAAAGCATTTCTAAGTTAACACAAATTAACATTTAAATTTAACTATAAGAATAGATAAGTTATGCATCATGTTTTGATAATTTTAAATATTTAATAATTTAGACATAAGCTTTTTGACTATGCAGTAGATTCAATCAGTGTAAATGGTAGTGATTCAAAATGTTTTTCTCTTTGATGTACTCCAAATGCCAATAGTAATTTAAATAACTGCATTACTTGGGTTGTAGGTTGAAGCTTAAATGATACCTAGTTAGAGATAATCAATAAAATGAATAACATGTGACATACAGCTGTTTCTGTGACCTAGTTTAGAATCAAATAGTAGCATATAATATGAATTCAGGATTGGATTTAATGAAAATATAGTGGTGAGTTGCTTCCTTTAAGGGAATAGAAATTGTAATCTTAACATCAGAATATAGTATTTTAATATTATTGTTTTCTTCTGCTGTACTGGGAATCAAACCCAGAATCTCATGCATACCAGGCAAGCACCCTACCACTTAAGCAGTGCCCCCAGCTCTTTTTTGTTTGTCTTTGTATTTTGTTTTTGAGTTAGGGTCTCACTAACATTGCCTGGTCTGGTTTCAAACGTGCGATCTTCTTGCCTCTGCCTCCCAAGTAACTGGGATTACAGGTATGCAACACAATGCCTGGCTAATCTATACCTTTAAAAGTTATTGTTTACAATTTTAATGCTGCAAATTCAATTGTCCTGTAAGCTGATGCTAGAAATAGTCTCAGGAAAAAAATTTATTTTATTAGTAAAATTTGTTTGCATAGTATAATATTTTAACCTTTTTTGGTTCAGGTATGTGGTTTTATAACCCTTTCCCTTACATTGTTGTTTTAAAGAAAATTTTGGAAACATTTGGAGCAATAGAGCAGAGTCTTCTTTTTCTGTTTGGAACTCATACTTATGGAACTGCAGTACATGAGGGATCAAAAACATTTTATGGTAACCAATAAGCAATATTAAGTGTATCCATTTGACAACCCACTTATTTTTAAAATGTATAAACCTTGATATATACAAGAACATGTATATTTAAAGGACTTAAAGCTCTCTTTGTAATATATTTCTGCACTAATCTTTTTTTTTGCAGTGCTAGAGGGAGATCAAACCCAGGCTTGATCATGCTAGGCGAGCAGTTTACCACAAAGCTGTACCCCCAGCCCTTGGTTTTTTCAGATATTGTTTCACTGTGTAGCCCACAGTGAATGAATTCTTCATCCTCCTGCCTTTGTGCTGGGATGACAGGTATATGCCACCAGGCCTGATCCACACTGCTCTTGATTGAAATAAAATATAAAATCATACTTGCAAGGTGTTGCTGGGTGCTTTTCAGTGATCAAGCTTCACAACACACAACATTCTTCTTAGGTATTTAATATAGAAATTCACATTTCCAGAAACAAATTCTATGTTGGACCTATGATCATATTCTTAAAGATTTCCTGACACATAGAAAAAGATCCCAAGCCATAGTCTGACTCTGCTTGCTGAAATGGTAGAGAAAGTTAAATACTGCTAAAAAAAAAGATTTTATCCAGTCTTTAGATTTGTTTTCTTGTATATAAGCTGATGATTGGTCATATGTTTTGGATTATTCCTTGAAGAAAAGAAAATACTTGTGATAACTGTTAGAAATGTTAAAAAAAAAAAGTGGAAAGTTAGTGTATACTTAAGATCATAATTTACCTCCAGGTATGCTGATAAAATTGTTTTACTTCAACAAAGTTTTACTGTTGACATCTGATATATAGCAATAATAATATGTTTTCATGGAATATTAATTTTGTTTTCCTAAAACAGAATGTACTTGCTTCTATTAGAAAATTAAATAATTTTCTCCCAAGTCATAGAAATAAAAGATATGCCTGAACAAAAATATTTAATGGTAACCAGAAAATGACATAAGAGTACCTCACAACAAATGAAAAAATGTTCTTACTTACTTGCACATTTAAAATTTTTCTGTACTACTTCATTTATTTAGGAAACATATATTGAATATGAATATTGAATATGAATATTGTTCACCTAAATAATTAGGTGAACAGAGAAAAAAGATACAAATATCTCAGTGTCTATGAGCTTTTATTCTACTGTGGAAGGCACACAATAAACTATAATATAGTAAATAGTAAGTTTAAATAAATAAGCAAGTTGTTAGAAGTTGTAGAGAAAAATCATGGAGGAGGGAACTGGAGATTGGGGACTGAGGTTTGAGGCAAGTTTCGGTATCAGATAGGCCTTACTACTGATAAAATAAAAGAGAAATTATTTAAAACAATTGATGAGATTAATATCTTTTTTTTTTTAATTATAGCTGGAACAGTCAAATGATTTCAGTTCGTGAAGCCAAAGCCATTCCAAGACCTGATGGAATTGAATGGAGAAATAAATACATCTGTGTAGAAGGTAGTTTTCCCATGATTACTTTGTTTACCATCCACTTATCATCATGGTTCTGAGAGAATTACTTACTTAATTTCAGTTTATATCTTAGTTTAAAGTAATACATTTATGTTCTAAAGTGATTAACAAGTCTTTCAGTTTTAAATTTTTCATTAACAAGCACTCAAAATTCTTTTGTTGTGAGAAATAATGAATGTGAATCTTTGAAGTTGGTAAGATCTAAGCAGTCTATTCCTTGCTCATATTTGTGGTTGAAACAGTCTCATGATTTACAGATGGAAGAAAATACAATCTTTTCATGATCATTCTTATATTGAAATGAAATGATTTATTTTGTGTTCTTTTACATTGAAAATATTGTTACTTAATGTGAGCTAGATTTTTATGAATTTGATTTTACTTTAAAATTAAATGATCTGAAGATAATTCTGTTCTGTAAACATAATTTACATGTAATTGAATATTTCCTTGAGACATTTTCTTTGAACCAGTGGGAAAGTGATTTTGAAGGGCAAATTGAGAACTCTTGCCTAGCATTTGCTAGGCCCTGTGTTTGTAGGCCCTAGCACTACAAAAAAAACTAAACAAACAAAAAATTATTCTCATAGATGCCAAGTTGAAGACCTTTGTAAATCTTGAGGAGGTAAAAAAGAATAGAGTTGAGAATCAGCATTTCTAGAAAACATCAGATTTGGCCTATTTTAGTCTTGGATTATATGCAACATCCTAAGAGTTTGTGAATATGAATTTAATCTGGTTTGGTGTTTGGCTTACTAATAAATTGCAAATTGTACAGTGAGCATGTTATTTTAGTTACTTACATTCTTTTGACCTTTTGCTTACATTATTTCAGTCATCCCACTTCATGCTTAATGATTTTACAGTTATCCTCATCCTCTTAGTGTTATCTTCAGTTTCCTTGCCATCTTCTGTCTCTGTGTATGAACTCTTCTATCTTATCTTCTGGGTGAAGGGTGAATAGGGTGAGGGTATGGACACGAAAGATGGATTTGTTAGAGACAAACACATAAAAACTGGTTATTCTGTTTTTTTCTTCTTTCTTTACCAAATTTCTCATAGGATTTACTATTCTCACTGTCTTTCTAAACCATCCACTATTCTCACTGTATGTCTCTCTAAACCATCATTGTAACTCTCTGCACTGTCTTCCATATTCTCCAGTGTTGGACCTTTACTTTCAAAGGTTATTGACCTTTTTCATGCTGGACAAAATCAGCTTTTAAATTAATATTAAGTTTTAAGTTACCCTTCTGTGACATTTGACATTGAGCTCCTCTCTTGCTTTATTCTTTTTGATAACTTTGTATTCTTTAACTTATTTTTATTTCTTAAGGGTAGGTCCTGACCTGTAATTCTTCAGAAATCTTATCCACTTATGATTTAGATTTTTATATCCATGCTGATGTCTTTCATCTTTAGTCATTTCTTTCATTTGGATTCTATCTACCTTAGATTGTTCATAGTCATATTAAAGTTGTCTATATATGTAAATCTAGTAAAGGCATTAGGCTAAATCATATGAAATAACTGTTTTTGTGGGCCAAAAATTACTACATACTGACAGTGTCATTATAGTTGAACCTAATCTAAAAAATGTTCTTGGAATGGGGATGTAGCTCATTAGTAGAGTGCTAGCCTCATGTGTGTGATGCTCTGGGTTTGATCCCTAATGCTGCAAAAAGAGAGAAAGAAAGTCATTGTAATAATTTCTTCACATGTACCTTCAACCTTGCAGAACCTTTTGATGGAACAAATACAGCCAGAGCTGTGCATGAAAAGCAGAAATTTGACATGATCAAGGATCAATTTTTAAAGGTAAATAGTGCATCAGATTAATTCTAGAAACATTAGTGGACTAGTATGCTTTAAAAATGAAACAACACATGCATATATAATAGTATAAAATAGTCCTGATTTCTAAGCTATAAAGCCATTAATGTAACAGAATAGGGAACTTACTGGGTTTTTTTTAACATATACTTTCCTCCAGAAAGAGCTAGCTCTGTTTTTTATTTACATGCCTTTCACTTTTGTGGAAATAAACATTTTTATAGGAAGCTTATTAAACTCCCAAAATGACTGAATAACATCTAATGGACATTTTTTCCTTCCTTAAAATATCAAGGAATTCATTAGAACCTTAGAAGGAAGCTGATGTCTAATCCATGTCCTTTTCCCCTTTGCTTACCCTACCATCACAAGGAAGTAGAGTAACATTTTTATTTTGAAAAGTTAAAATTATGTTTGTGTGTCTGTGCACATTATGAATTTATTTATCAGTGGTCTTGCTAGATGAAGTCTCCATCTTCAGTGATTTCCCCAGTACAGTGTGGAAATGGAGTTGATAGAAATGTGTACTGTGAGACCTTAGAGGGACAGCTTCATAGAAGAAAAAGATCAGAAGATCATTTTAGAAGCTTAACTTTTCCTTATTTAGAGATACAAATGGGCTTTATTTTAATAATTAAAAATACAAGCATTAGGGGCTGGAGGTATAACTTAAGTGATAAGAGTGCCTGCCTAGTAAGCATAAAGACCTGAATTGATAAATAAATAAAACCCAGTAACTGTCAGAAGGGGGGGAAAAAACTAAAAATGCAACTATTATTTTACAAGCTATTTTTCAAATTAGGCCCTCTCAATTTGACAACCAGAATAGAAAATTGTTTTTCTTACTGTTCTTATTGATGGGTGAGCTTTCACTTAGAATTATTTTATCTGTAAAAGTAATACTTTTAGTCAGTTGAACAACTAATGTAAGAATAAATTACAAAGTAGAGCCAGATTTTTAGCCTTTGAAAAAAATTTCATTTTTTTTCCCCCTTATAAACTCTATTCACTATTCTTTTTCAGGGACATACATAAAGTTCTTTATTTTACGTTTACTCTTACCTTCAAAAGTATTGTTTTTAATTGAAAAAACTAGTAAAGACACAAAAAGTTAATGAAATGACTGATGTAATCCTTCCTTACCCTATCAAATCCAAAGGTTTTGTTTTAATTACTTTGTTATTTTAGATGAAGTCATTCAATCTGTAAATAAATGTTACTATTGTTAATTTTAGATTTTTGGACTACTGGTATGTCAGTAGTCCAAATTAATGAATTGGAGCCACACAAATATAAAATTTTAAAGTAATACTTTCCTTTCTGATGACAAAAACAATACTTGGGCAGTGTTAAAAACTTGGGAAATAGAAATACAAAGAGGAAAAAAAGTCATCCAGAAATTTCCCACCTATAGAGAACCACTGTTAACAGTCTTTTAAAGTCTCAATCTTTTGTTCTGCATTTATCTTATGTTTTAAGAATGATTTTTCTTTTTCTCCCAGTCATGGCACAGATTGAAAAACAAAAGAGATTTGAACAGTGTACTACCTTTAAGAGCTGCTATCCAGAAAAGATAACTCGCCTCCTATTTCTTAAATTCTTCAAGAAATAAAGAACAGTAGTTACATCATAATGCATCTTGTTTACCTCCATCATGTTTTTTTTTAATTGTTCTTGTTTTCATGTTTTATTTTTAAAAGGACATACTTATATAAAGATTGCATATTTTATTATGACATTTCCTAATAAAATTCTTTGATTTAAAAATGTATTTTTGAAAATGTTTACATTGATGATTAGTAATATTATGGCATGAATTTTCAGGCAATCAGATAAAATATATTTTGGGAAATTACCTGAACAAATAAAAGGTTTTTGATATAACTCCAGTTAATTTTACCACATGTTAATACTGAAGAGCCGTGTGAAATTTTGAAAAGGCTCTAATTCATACATGCTTCCAGTATAACCTACAGTAGATAGTTCATTGCCTAAGTCTGTTCTAGTAAAGTGAAGGTTCAAGTCAGTTATACAGTTACTTGAAGCAAAATGAAATCTTTTATTTCAGTGAAATCACTGTGGAGTCATGAAATACTGGACAGTTGCCTTAAGTCTTCACTTGACTCCTGGGACAGACTGGGGCTTTGGGTGTGTCTGTATTAGCATTTCATTAGTACTTCACATGCTTTTGATGTACTCTTGAGATTGCTTTAGATTGTGTTGAAACAACAATGTGTTTTGCACTGTGGTAATGTGCACACTAACTCTTTCAGCAGTTAGTGACTTGTTAATGGATTGTTTTAAAGACCCTGTCTTAGACATTTGGAAAACATGATGTCTTCTGTGCTTTGTGATAGCTTAGTGCAGTGTGCACATTTTTTTTCTTTGCTTCCGTTTTCCTACTTTTATTTTCCATGTGACAGGAAGCAACAGAAACTGAAACATCAAAGTTAAGATTATATCCTATTTTTAGAATCAGATTTCTTTCTGTGCACAATTATAGGATTGTAATCTAAACTGGAATTTTTAAGCAGTAAGCCACTACAAAATGTTTTGATAATACATAAATAAAGTTATTATAAATAAAAACAATGTTTATAAAAATATCTTTTTTAGTATTTCTTTCACATGAAAAGTAGTGGTGGCTGCTGAAAAAGCTATTGTTTGTTAAGGTGGCTTTGCATTTATGTAAATATTTGTAAATTGGTCAGTGCCTGTAAATTTAAATATAAAAAGTAATCTTGAAAACAGTTTTAACTTTTTCAAAAGGACTGCTAGTAACTTCTTTTAGATCTACTGTAGTACAGTTTGTAACTAATGTATTTTTTGCAGACCAATTCAAAACCTACAATTTCCACCTTTGACTTATAAAAGGTGCATATTTTCATTTTCTTTAAGTTTAAATTTTTGTATGATGTCAAGTGGAATAAAATTTATATATGGAAATTGTTGGGATGGTTGTTTTCTGTGTGTTTGCTTTTGTAATCAGATTAGAGCTGTAGTTATTTAGAACTGATCTGAATCCAGTTGTTGTACTTGATTGTTTATATTAGTACAGAGGATCTTGGAATTAAGTTCCTCTGTGGTTAAGCCAGTCAACCACATCAATGCCTTATTGCTCTGGCATTATTAGGAATGAAGCTTTCTACATAGGTGAATAATTAGATTACTGATGCAGTTTGGGCTTTTTGTTTTTTTATCAGAATTCTTTTTCTTGAAAATTTTATAAAATTTATTATACATTTTACAACTACTCTTTATCAAAATGTACTGAGTATAGTTAATATTCCAGTGATAACTTGGTTTTTATCATAATAGTAGTCATAGTACCATTTGGTAAAACTGTGCAGTTCTCAGGGATGGGGTGAGTGAAAATGGAGTTTTGGACCCAAGGCCCAAACTCCTGGGATTCACATGCCAGGTCCATGCGCTGGTCCCTAAACACCAAATAAATAGGCATGGTGAAGGGCAAAGAAAGGATATTTATTACACGACTTGGGACATGCCATGGGAAGAGGCAGAGTAAGCACTAAGCCCATCTTCTGCCATTGTCAGAGTACAGATATGAGCTATAGCTTTAAGTAGATAACTGGGGGCAGGTGACAAAAGGTATATGTAAACAAAACAGCCCCAGTCACAGGTGTATTCCGTTGGACCGTTATCTCAGCCCAAGGTTCCAAAGAAGTTGTTACCTCTGCCATCACTTGATGGGAGCAATCTGATTCCCATGAGATGATTATTCCTGTTACAGGATGCAGCCTCATTATTATAGGTAATTGTCCTCGAGTGGTGGTGGGAGAGGGGGGTCCTTCAAGGCTCCACTGCTCCTTAGGGGAACTATTCTTTCAGTCCCTTGTCATAAAGATCCTTCCTGTCCTTCCTTGATTCCAAGGTGGCTGCAGTAGAGGATGGCTCAGAGTAAAGGAAAACGTGCAAAATGGAGAGAGGGATGTCAAGCTTTTCTCCTGTTCTTAGTTAATTCATGGGCCCAGGTAAGGAGTCAGTGCTTTTCAGCAAAAGCTCAAAAGTTTGAGCACCTCATACGTGAGTAGGACACTCTGCCTCTAGTTTTACATTTCCTTAAAAAGCCTCAGAATTTATCATGGTATGGATTCCTCCACCTTCACCATATTCTCAGCTTTTAATGACCCTACTCTTAATACTTCTTTTCAGCTGATTTGCTGTAACAAATAGATCAAGAAGTTAATAAACTTAAAAACATTCTAAACCAAAGGGCTGACACACCAAGAGTTTTGAGTTATTTTCAGTCTCAGTTATTTCTGTGGTGAATACTAGATTCTCTTATTTTCTGTGTTGATCTCTCCATTTCTACATATTTGAATACATTGTAAAAATTGTTAGGTTAAAATTGCACTTTGTACTGCAATTCCAAATTTTTGATTGGTTTGCATTAGGATCTTTGTAAATCTTGTAGACTTTAGTGTTCCTAAGAAATTTTGAGTTTCAGTGAAAGAAACAATTTGGCTACCTTGTTATTTTGATTATTGTTTAACAGATTTCCATAACTGTCATTGAATTCTTTTTGTCTTGGGTAAGCATGCCATTTGGAATTGCTAATGGAAAAGCCTAATTTTAAGAGAATGAATATTGCTGATGTAAAGCAGATTTAGTGAAACCTTGGCAAGACTGAACTATGGTTTTCCCTTCTTTTGCCCATTAGTTGTTGCTTCTGTTCTGTATCTGGACTTTCTACACTTCTTTGGCCATAGACCTAATACATGCATACAAGCTAGTGCAACTAGTGAGTATTACCCATTCTCCATATGTCATATTAAAAAACTGTAAATAGACTTTTAACTAAATGTGTGCTGTGCCATAAAAGCTCAGGAATAGAATGAACATTTCTGCACTGTAAAGCTCTTTACCTGTTGTGTGTATTCAGCAGGTCTGGTCCTGTTTTCTCTAGGGAATGTTCACTAAGTTCTTGCTATGTGCTAAGTAGGAGTTTGCAAAAGTTGGGGATGGTGGAGCAGAGATGAGTAATAAGCTTACAAAGTCTACTGGGGGAAGAGATACCACATACTTCCAATGTAGGCTGATGTGGGAGCCTGGAAAAGGAGTACTGAGTTTAACCTGGGGGTAGATGGAAAGAGCATTTCAGTCTGAAGGAATGTGTAAACAAAAATGGAGTAGTGGAAAGTCTTCCAAAAATGAGGCCCCATAGGATAGATGTGGGCTGTTAGGATTTGATTTTCGTAAGGCTCTTGGGCTTCAGCCCTTGAGCAGAGGTTGGGGGCTTTAAGCATCGGCTTTCCATGATCTTATGATCTTATGATCTGGGGCCTTTGCGTTGAATTTTGGACAAAACTTATCGACCTGCGAGTATAAAGATAGCCAATACTGAGCAGTGGTTCCAAAGTGAGGTCTTGAATTGGGCCGACCTAGCATTGGGACCTTAATAGCAATGGGCCATTAAGCAAGCTACCCGAGCTCCTCCGAGCTTCAGTTTCTTGCTGCAGGAAACAGGCTCCAGGGCTGGGGCAGGAGAATGAGGTGAGTGCTCTGCTGGAAGCCCGAGTGCGGCCTGAGCCTGCGCCCCCGAGCCCCTTAACGTGGTGATTGATCGCCAGTTGTCCAGAAGACCAGCCGGGGATCAGCCAAAACGGGCGGGGAAGTTGGCAGGCGCGGGCACGAGGAGAAGTTCAGCCCGGGCCTCAGAAGCTCGGTGGCGAAACTTCTTGACGCCTGCTATTTAAAGTCTCGGGGCTGCCCCGCCCCCGCGCCGGAACCCGAGTCGTCCCGCCGGGCCGGGCCAGGCAGAGGCGCAGTCAGAGGGAGAACACCGGGCGCGGCGCGGGCGGCCCGACTCCGGCCGGGAGAGGCACGATGGCGAGCAGCGACAGCAACCACACCATCGAGAGCTTCCTGGGCTCCGACGCGGTCGAGGAGGCGGCCCGGGAGCTGGAGACCGAGGAAGAGTCGGAGGGCGAGGAGGAGGAAACGGCGGCGGAGTCGGAGGAGGAGCCCGACGCCAGGTAGCTAGCCTCTCTGCAGGCTGGGGAGGCAGGTGCTCGCCCTTTCCTTGGCCTTTTTGCTTTTCCTCTTCAACCTCCGCAGTTCCTTTCTCTGCAGCAAAGCACTTTCTGTCTGCGGCACGCTGTCTTTTTTAAGAACTTGAAGGTGAAGGTGCTCACTGTCAGCTGGAGTGACAGGCCCACCTGTAGCCAAGTGCACTATTCCCCCCACCTCCCTGCTCCCAGCTCCTTGTGACTTGCTGCTCTTGTTTATTCTTAGGGTCCTGCCTAACTGCATAACTGTGTTGGAACCCTTACATCTGGCCCAAGGAGCAGGATGGATCTTGAAAGCTGAGCTAGAGGGGAAGGGCGGAGGCAGAGAAGGCCACTCTGGTACTTTTAAATGAATGGTAGCCTCCTGGGAGCCTAGCACTGGGCTACTTTGCTATAAGGGAACTTTATTTTGGTACAAAGACTCATATATTTCTTAGAGAAAAGAAGCATGAAGGCCAGGCATGGTGGTATCCATCTGTAATCCCAGCACTCAGGAGGCTGAAGCAGGAAGATTGTGAGTTCAAGACAACTTGGGCTACATAGTGAGACTGTTTCAGCAACTCCTGCTCTTAAGTTTCTGCTGGTTCCAAGGTCCCAAATAATCAATTTGTCAGAAAATGTGAATAATTTTTATATAAATATAATTGTATAATAACATAACTATTATTATTATTGATCCCCTCTCCTTCGTGTAGGTCCTTAAATGAGAATGGTAGGAATCATCTCCTTTTGGATATGGTTCTACCTTTCTTGTTCTCTAAATATGAGTGTTTTTTTTTTTTTTCTGAATGTGTGTTAGTAAATGTATCTCTTTTTGACTATTTGTGTCAGTAGAAAACCTTCAAAGATGGCATAACAGTTGGATGTATACCATTTCAGAATGCCCATCTTACCCAAAGTTAAAAGTACTGCCCAACCAAGGCCAGCAGAGCTAAAGTTGAGGAAGGAGCTTGTAGAGTGGCACTGATTAGGGTGAATGGTGAATCAGATAGGAAGACTTCAGTATTGGTCACTTGTTTACCAAGCAGACACACGCACAGCCTCTGCCCTTAAGAATTTTATGGGAAAAGTTAGGGAGAATTATAGGGAATATGAGACTATGCGCTAAAGAATTTAGAGGCAGAGAGGGTACTGTGGATTCTGTGGGAGGTCAGAAGAAAGAGAGTAGAGCTGTGGCTGCCTTGAAGTAGTAGGCATGATCTGGGCTTTAGAAAAAGGGCAAGGGATGCATAAAGGAAGAGCAGAGGAAAAGGTACCTATGAGAAATGGAACAGGGAGAGGGCCAGTGATTGCTGGGCATGCTGAGAAGAGGAAGTGTGCAAGTTCAGTCTTTACAACCTTTTGCCTTAGTGGTATGTGGGATGCTCAGATCCTTGCCCAACCAGTATCACTCCCCAAGAGCCTGAAAACTCATTTGCACTAAAACAGCTGACAATTGAAGCACCACTTCAGGGTTGCATTGCCCTTTGACAAAGGTCACTATCTTCAGATGAAGATATGACTTATCTGCAGTAAACTTTAGTCTGCTCTGACTGGAGATGGTAAGATAGACACCGAGGAAAGAGCTCAGAATAAGTAGCATTGGGATAAACACATGAGAATAAGGTAGGTGGTGGTGGAAGCCTTGAAAAACCATCACGCTTTTGATGACACGAGTAACAAGGAGTCAGTAAAACTTCTGAACAGGATTTAGGAGAACAGACCATGTTAAAGAAAGGAGTCTGACAGGAGGCTGAGTTTCAGGAGGGTTCAGGTCAGGGAGGCTGTAGCAGAAAGAAAGGTAGTATCTAAGGCATGGACCATGGTGGAGACAATAGGAAAGGAGTCCATAGTTGTAGCTAGACGTAGGGACAGCTCAGTGGAGAACAATTCCAGGGGAACAGGT